CACGTGCACCCAGCCTAGTGAACTGCACTCCATTCGTGTACAGCGCGCTTGGCAAGAGTTATGCTTTTGCCAACTTCTGGGACAGTGGCCCTACAACTGCTTGCGACAGTGCGCGACAGGCATTTCCTCGCCGCAAGTGTTACATCGCAGAAAGTGATACTGTACATGTAATTGTGAATTGTAAATACTTTTAATCCAATTCAACTTTTAGTATGTGCTTCTCTTTGTTGAACAGCAATGGGTAACCAACTCTTCTCCTATCCATTCATTCTCCTGCTCGTGTTTGTATGATGGTTGTATACTGTATACCCATTGAATGATTAATGTACTACAGTATCAGGTTTTGTCTGGTGATATATTCACGTCCAAATATGTTCAATTTTCACTTGAGCACACAAGAGTTGGAAGCTTAGAAACACTATACATCTATTCTTTAGGGTGTTCTCCATTGATATATTGAAAGATCTCACCTGTTCAAGACGTCCATGTCGACTTTGAGGCCGACTTTCGCATCGATGTCGGCTATTTTGTAGCACTTAGAAAAATGATCCCTACCACCCGGGACGCATTCTATCGCGTTGTTTGCATTCTCCTGGCGGCAGGGAATTGCCAAACTGATTACCTTCCATATGATATAATTCAAGGGATGTGGAAGAAGCCTTCACTGCTCGACCAGGCCGATAACCCTATTTCATACATACCCCAAAACTAGACAAATTCGAAATTTCTCAAGCTTGAGAACGTTTCCCGGCAAAAAAAACCTCGAAATCTGTTATATCGGGATTGGTCGTTTGGGAAAGGACTGGAAGTAGAACTGCAGAAGTCGACGAAGTCGAACGAGGAGTAGGCAAAGCCCGATTTTGCCAGTTAAGCTTCGATATTTTGCTGGCTCATCGTCGATATTTTGCTTTCATTTTGCCAGACCACTCGATATTTTGCTCCCTTTTTGCTCCAAAATTAGTGTCACGCATGGGAAAACTGACCGAAAGTGGGTTACGTGTTGGCAAAAACGAGGAAAAGTGAGTCACGTGCACCGTATAAGTGTAAGATCTCCCAATTTCCGGTGAATACACCGATATTTTGCTCCATTTTGCCAGCAATTTCCCTTTCAAAATTCTTCGATATTTTGCTAGCAGAATTGCTAGCAAAATCGGGCTATGTCTAACGAGGAGGCCCTTTTTGTAGTTGAGAACTGCTGACGTGGACCTTTTGCACCTGGAACGGCCCCGTAAACGCTGTCGTGTCGGCGGAGTGAATGTGCAGGGTACTAGGGTGAAAAGAATTGCTGCAAAGACGTCCCCTCTACTACAAAGGCTCTAGGCCTTTGCCTTTGGAGACATGGCGAACTGAATGCGCAGGGCGAAAAGAATTGCTGCAAAGACGTCCGCTCTAGGCCTTTGGAGACATCGTGGGAACTCCTTCCGGTACTATAAAACTGCTGACGTGGCCCTGGACATGTACATGGAGAGTCATGGTGGGACTTCATGTACATGTGGGGATTCCTTCCGGCACCCCCGTACCGCAAAGCCAACGGTGGGGAAGGAGAAGTGCAGACGTGCAGGAAGACGAACGAGGAGGAACCAGGACGAGCGAGCAATGGCAGGACTAGCTGGACCGTAAGTAATAGCTGAATTGTGCATGACAACTTGACATCCATGCGGCACTCGCCACTTGCCACTGCATATTTCTTGTCCACTAACAATGTCTCTCCTCTGCCCCCTGTGTGTCCACGGCCCTGTTGCTGAATTGGCCCGATGAATCGAATGTCTTCCGCAACTGGAACGGCCCCGTGAACGCTGTCGCGTCGGCGACTGAATGCGCAGGAGGGAAAATATTGCTGCGAAGACGTCTCCTCTAGACGACGGTAAGGCACCCCATTGATATTATAGCAATAAAAACTGCTTTATGGCAGTTTTCAAAAAAAAGTTATTGTGTTCTAGTCCATGGACCCCGTCTAAAAAGTAAGAAATTAACGAAATGTGATAGCCGAAAATTAAAATTTCACACAAAACCTCACAATAATCACAACACTTGAAATGCTGTTTTCAGCACTAAACCTGTACTGCACCAACAATGGGCAACATGCATGTCATGCATGCATCGGAAAGAGGATCACGAGGGGAAAAGGTCTTCTACATGTAGCTTTTCATTCTGTGACTGTGTCACAGTCTGTGTGTGATTATTGTGAGGTTTTGTGTGAAATTTTAATTTTCGGCTATCACATTTCGTTAATTTCTTACTTTTTAGACGGGGTCCATGGACTAGAACACAATAACTTTTTTTTGAAAACTGCCATAAAGCAGTTTTTATTGCTATAATTTCTTTTGTTTTTTCTGTCACCATGTACAGTACCAATCAATGGAATGTCCTATATCAATATGTAAATGATGGGCTTCACATCATATCAATACCGTATTATACGCATTGATGTGCAAGCCTTTTCTTGCAGAAAATGGCACTAGCATGTTCTTCTGCGGGGAAACATGTGAGTAGTGGTGGACCGTGGTGATACTTTTTTTTATACGGAGGTCATTCTGTACATGTTGCTGTTGCAGAATTTCATGACTCTGTCATAAAATTGTCTTGCCTTTCAGATATTTCAGATTTCCCCACCCTCGATCAGATTTATTTGAGAAATGTAACCAGGTGCGTGTCACAGATGTTTTTGTTGATTCTGTGTTTATAATGGTTTATAATCATGGGTTATCGTGATAAGGTCATCCTGCATCATATTGCACTGAAATCGTAATCCTGTTGATGTCGATACAACTGTTGGAAGTAGTTCAATGACTTCAAACTGTTAGTCCACGATTTTCTAAAACAACACAGCAAAGGAGGAACAATAAACATGTATTAAAATGTAAACAAATACATTGCTGAGTCCGACACCTCGTTCCAACAACTACACTGATCCTGAGGATAAAAGGGGCAAGGCTATGGTTGGAGGTACTGAGAGATAAACAAGGCACTCCATAATAATAAAATGTTACACATCTTTTGGTGAGTATGAATGACATCCAGTCTAACCTCTTTAGGACGAACACCAAGGGACCGATGGTATTTATTCTGTGAGATTGTCTTAACCTATTTTATAACCAGTGAATACAATTATTTGTCAAATAGACATACAAATAGATTTCTTCTACAGCGAAAGATTCTAAGCCACACCAACTCATTGACTCGTCTCGTATGAAAGAAATGAGTCACTAGAGAGGTTCTGCGAAACGAAAATGCATACAAACTTTCGTTCTACGTCATGAAGTGCGAAATTTCGCACGAACTTTCGCAACTTTGGACGCGAAACTTGCAGGGAACGCGAAATGAACTGTCGTACACACTTTCGTGAGATAGGGTCATGGCGTACGTGCGCTTGGCCCGCGCAAACTACGAAAATGTGCAGAACGCAAAGTTCGTGCAAAAATTCGTACACACTTTCGCAAGGACTGTCGCGAAACTTCGTTCGAATTTTCGTTTTGCAGAACCTCTCTACTGAACGTTTCTTTAGCAACATGACGGCAACTGAAACAGCAACAGAGAAAGTACCATCCATGTACAGCACATTCTTGCAGGTACTACAAACAGATTGCAGATCGTAATTCTTGCTTTGGCGGCACGAAACTTTATTTGGGGCAGTGCAATCTCGGTGGTACATGTACTCACAAATAATAAATCAAACAGCCCAGACTCGAGTAAACAAATCCAATCATACAAGTACGAGATCTTCACGAGACGAGACTGCACCCATTGGCTTGTTTCGTATGAAGCAAACAAGTTTACTGAACCTCTCCACAATGGAGATTTTCCTGATATGCGGAATTTATTTTGCAAACTCGGTCAATGGATCCTTGAACCTTTCCCTCCAGATTGGGAACTGCCAACGATAGTATGCCACTGACCAGTGCCTTACTTGTAATGTACCAATTTACAATGAATAATTATGAGTATTTCGACAACACATCTAACATAAGCCTTACCGTCAAGAAGGTGAACTCGCGTTCTTCGCACACTGTAGACAAGGGCAAAGAGAGTGATTTTTTGCAATGTCGAGTGCAGTGAAGAATTTTTTGCGTCGGGTATCCCCCCCTCATGCTGGTCGTGAGAGGGTGGGAACCCCTACTGGGAGCCTTAACATGGTATCCCCAACACCCGTCCAGGAGATGGGCCGAAGAGCTGGCTGCAAGGCCAAACCGGCAAGCCCAGCGGAGAGCTTGATGCTTTCTGGGTCGGAAGCTGAGGAGCTGAGTCGCACCACCACTGTCAGGCCGATCGCCATTCCAAAATCGGCTCGCCTACCTGGCACAGACAGGCCCGTAACTGGCGTAAGTCCTAATGAATCAGTCCCTCTGGACAAAGTAATGTACCTACTAAAGACATTTGCCTCGGAGTTCCGAGAGGACTTGGCGAGAAATATGAGGGAACTGATGTCGCCTTTTGACGAGAGATTGGCTAACGTGGAAAAGAAAGTGGCAGGAGCGGAGAGCGACCTGCAGGAGCTCCGTTCCGCGAACGAGAAATTGACGACTGAAGTGGCACGGCTTGCGTCTGCTACATGCATCAGTGATTCTCCAGGCAATGGCGGGAAATCCGCCATTGCTGGGCTCCGGCAGGAGGTAGACAGGCTGGCGACTAGACTGGGGGAGGTTGCACAATCCACCCCAAATATGGCACAAACTTACTTTGAGGAGCAGGCTGAGCAGATAGCACGTTCCAATAACGTAGTCCTGCGGGGAGTTCCTGAAGCTGTAGAGGAGGGTGCATTGGTGCAGACAGTTCGTGAACTGATCCCGGGCGGGGTCAGATCGTCTGACATATTTAGTGCAGAACGACTGGGGAGGCGTAACACAGCAAACGGATCCGGCACAGCTCCCAGCAAGCCCCGTCCTGTACGTGTATGCGAATGACTGTTGGGACATTCTTCCAAAACATGACGTCACAGAATTCGTGAAAAAAAGACAACTTTTGTCGCAAGCGGCTAGCCTGTCGCGCTCGCGAGACTCATCTTGGGCGCGCTCGAGCTGCGAAGCGCGACACACGAGCGCGACCCAAACTGTGTCACGTGTGTGTCGAATCTGACCGTCATTATGATCGCCTTCGATTATTTATTTTCGTTCTACTCGACAATTCCAAAAATCAGTGCCATTGGCTTTAGCTTTGCCCTTGAACTTGAAATCTCGTGCCTTATTCTTTCCTGGGGACTGGTGTTGGATATTGAACGGGCGGAGTGACCGCCGGGATGATGGATGAAGGAGATGATGGCCTAAACTTGGCTGCGCGCATTCTCATTTTCGCGTGGCCTGCCACTAGTGTTTCGCAGATTCACAAAGGGTGTCACAGGCATAGCTGGAGGAAGAAAGGTGAGAGAATCGGTTGCACAGTGCAGATCAACCCAACCATTTGGTTTTTTTAATTTTACTTCGCACAGTCAAACGGGATGACCACCCAATAAAATTTCCGAACGTGACATTTTTGTAATTTATTGATTTTCCCGCATTATACCACAGTTTATTGTTCAGGTTATTTCGCTTCAACTTTTGAGGTATGAATTCCTTAACTGCAGACTCGACATGCAAGCTCCATACTGACCAGGCTGTGTCAACATCAGGTCACGGCTTGGGTAAAGGTATAGTTTAGGGTCCCAAATTATTTTAGTGGGTCAGCATGCTCTACAGAGTCCCAGGCATGCACATTACACATAGGCCTTGGCCACAACTGACATCGAATACGATGTGGATGGACAACCACTGGTGTATGCAAAATCACCTTACGATGCGAACGAAGACGGCGCAAAGGACCATGAAAATTGCCTGAGTTTGAAGCTCGGTGATGCCGTGCGTGTCTTGAACACCTCCATGGGCAAGGGAAGGTGGTGGGTAGAAGTCAAAATATTCGTCGTTCTGCCAGGAGGCTTCCTCCGCGCCGCGCAGGTCATCCTCAGTGCCAAGGAATGATGATGGAACGTAGCCAGACTCGCCATCGACTTCTACCCACCACCATCCCTTGCCCATGGAGGTGTTCAAGACAAGCACGGCATCACCGAGCTTCAAACTCAGGCGATTTTCATGGTCCTTTGCGCCGTCTTCGTTCGCATCGTAAGGTGATTTTGCATACACCAGTGGTTGTCCATCCACATCGTATTCGATGTCAGTTGTGGCCAAGGCCTATGTGTAATGTGCATGCCTGGGACTCTGTAGAGCATGCTGACCCACTAAAATAATTTGGGACCCTAAACTATACCTTTACCACGGCTTGTTTGACTTTGTCCATTAGGCTGTGTTTGCATAGATATTCTGATGGCGTCAAAGACAGTTAGAGATTTTGTTGGTCGTGTGTCGGGGGTATTGTCCCCGCCGAAACTGAATGCAAGTTTAAGAAAGATTAGGTCTAGTGAGTTATGATCAGAAGTGTCCTGTGGGTCTAGCCCTCAGCCCCTCTGCGGCAAGCAGTAAACTATATTTACACCAAAAAGCGCAAGACAAGACTTGATTTTAACGCGGCTCTTTTCACCATGATAATTATTGTACACGTGTTTTGAAAATTTGAAATACTCATGGCAACTGGTGGGTGAATCATTCAAAAATGCAAACGTGCCCGCTGTTGAGTGCAGCCATGTGAATCCACACAGTCACTTTTCTCGTAAATCACTCGCCGTAAAACGTGCAAGTGGCTGTCGTGTGAATCGCCTATAACTGACTGTCTGCAGTTGTCGAAGTATTTCCCTGCACTCACTGTACTTTGTTAGAGATGTTCCGCATAACGTTATTACGTTAGTTAAAAAATGTAGTCGATCTACGGAAAGTCTTACGTAAACTGCATGCGCATCTGGGTTCCGCCATGCGGAGTTTTCAAATCATAGCAGACTCAGCGGAGGACGTTCAGGTATTACCGGTATTTTACGACTCCCTGGTCTACAGTACACTACACAGTCAGTGCAACAAGTGTATTAAAGTCCCGGCCTGGAGCAAAAAAAAGAAAGAAAAAAAGTACGAATAATCAAAAAAATTAATTCAGCCAGCACTCTTGACAACCCTACCCCTTTTTGCCCGAGGACGGATTTTTTAATTTTTCAAAAAATACAGACGACTCCTTACCTGTTCATTGGTTGAGGGAAAGATGCAAACGGGAAAACGTCTGAAGAAAAAATTGACTGGCGCCACCAGGACTCGAGCCAGGCGCCTTCACTTGAGGGCAGCGGTGCTCTAACCCTTCTTTGCCGTTGAGGTTCAGTGTAAAAAGGTGTGACTAACTGTACTGTTTACAATGCGGCCGTGTGTGTGTGTGTGTGTGTGTGTGTGTGTGTGTGTGTGTGTGTGTGTGTGTGTGTGTGCGTGTGTTTGTTGTGCATTGCAGGTTTTCTGGCTGATTCCTCCGACCCCAATCAATCTTCAGATCTATGAGCAGTGGGTGTTGTCGGGTAAACAGCAGGATATATTCCTGGGTGACATGGTCGAGAAGTGTGCCCGCGTCGAATTGAAACCAGGCTGGACTTTTGTCATTCCTACTGGTGAGTGAGATTGTGTAAGTGTGTGTATGTATGTATGTATGTATGTATGTATGTATGTATGTATGTATGTATTTGTGTGTGTGTGTGTGTAAGTGTGTGTATGTATGTGCCAGCTAGTTCGGTTGGTTAGTGCCTTTATGCCTGATTGTGTTGGGTCTGTTGCCAACGGGCTCGGCTGCTTGAAGGTGTAATGCGTGTGTGTGTGTGTGCATGTATGTGTGTGTGTGTTTGTGTGTGTGTACGTGTGTGCATGTGTACGCGCGTGTGTATGTGTGTGTGTGGTTGTGTGTGTCTGTGTCTGTGTTGCCACACCTGCCGACATGTCAGTAGCCTGCTGATTTTGGAGGCATTTCACGACCCGCCGACGATTGACCTTTTCCTGCCGACAACAGACATGAAAATGTCCCGTTCTGACGTTATGCTTCGTTTAGAACTAAATTAGAACATAATAGAAGTCATGTTCCAGATTTTTGCTCTTACTGGTCATCGTGTTTGTTTTCATTGCTCTCTCCTATGGTGCTAAGTGAAATCATTATTCTGTCTCGGGGGAAAATCTGATAGCTCAATCTGAGTTTCACGCAGACCCGTGATTTTTTAAAGGGGAAGTATACCCTAAAATCAAATTTTCACCAGTTATAGTCTTCGGGGTGCTGAGTCGAATGGTCTTGGTCCGAGGAAGCTGCGACGCTCCCTTCCTTCTTTTTTCCCAATCGAACTCGCGCACTTCCACCGAAACTGGGTGACTGCGCCCTACTAGATGGGGATTTGTATGCAAAATGTCACTAAAAGCGCCATGTCGTTCTTATAAAAGCACGGATGACCGCGATTGGCCCATGTGTTGTAGTCGTTTGGACGCTGAGTCGACTAGTTTTGGTCCGAAAAAGGCTGCGATGCAGCGTTCCTCCTTTATTCCCAATCGAACATGGTTGAACAAGCGGTCACGTGCTCCAGGGTGCCCAACTCACCTGGTCACCGCGCCAGCAGGCGACAACTTTCACACCAAGGTTCAACTCGAGTTCAACTCGAGTGACAGGACTGCACCCAAAAAAGGTCAAACAGGCTAGTAAGTTGTACCCGGCAGGCACGGTGACCAGGTGACTGGTGTACGCGGGAGCACGTGACCGCTTGTTCAACCATGACTCAGCGTCTAAAAGACTACAACATAAGGGGCCGTCCGTAAATATCGAACTTTTTTCACCAAACGAATTATTTTAGTTTAGACCCAACCCCTCCCTCCCTCCCCCTCAGAACGTAAAAAATGTTGACATACATGCATACAACGGCCATGTACATGATACAATGTTTTCTGAAACGAAATTGGTCAACCCCCTCCCACCCCATAACGAAATTATTTCGTTTTGTGAAAAAACTTCGATATTTATGGACGACCCCTAAGGAGGAAGGGAGCGTCTCAGCTTCCTCGGACCAAGACCATTCGACTCAGCACCCCGAAGACTACAACTGGTGAAAATGTGATTTTAGGGTATACTTCCCCTTTAACAGTGCGCTTTGTGTGCATGTGTATACTGGGGTTACTATGATGGGGGTCTGGGGGCAAAAAGCCCCCAGATGATGCATTTTATTTTTTCATCCTACTGATATTTGGCCAAAGTGATGTGGCAACACTGTGTGTGTGTATGTATGTTTGTTCGTTGACAGGCTGGATTCATGCAGTTCACACTCCTGTGGATTGGCTAGTGTTTGGTGGAAACTTTCTGCACAGTTTCAACATAAGCGGTCAGCTTGCCGTGGCGGACATTGAAGAAACTACTAAGGTACGTGAGCTCCTGTGCATGCAAGTGGATTTCCTTGCACTTCTCAGTTTGGGAAATGCTCAATTATGATAATTCTGCGTGCGAGTGCACTAGCCCTGAACATACATGTAGTTGACCCGTTTGTGGTGTCTCATAGCCTACCTCACGACCTTCTGCTTTCTTTCTGCATCACTTGTATCTTGCAGGTATATCATCTCGTGACGACCACATTTAAGTCTGAATTTGAAGTGCGAAGATGCTTCAGCAACCACATCGTACTTTTCCATTGCTTTCATTGTGCTTCTACTGTGCATGTGTGTAACTTGTGGGGTATATATGTGATGACATTGTATGCTGGCGACACGGTCAGATTTTGTCCATGCGTGTAACGTACACCTGCCTGTTCCTCCAGGAACTTGCGATTCCACGGCCGCGTTGTTTTCCGCGATTTGAACAAAAGTCCGTGATATCCGCGATATTTGAAAAATCATCCGCGTTATTGTAGAAAACTGTCCTTGATACTTGAAAAGCACCGCGATATTTCGAAAAGCAACCGCGATATTCGAGTCTTTTTTCGATGTTGTTTAGTTCTTGAAGCTCGTCAGTAGTTTACTTGTGAGATCGACACCAGAATGGAGAAGTTTCTGGGCAAATCAGCGGCTGACAAGTCACAAAATAAGGCTCGCGTCGAGTGTTGTCCGAGGATGGAGGAAAGCTGTCTTGCAAGCTCCTGTCAGGCAGTTGAACACAGACATCGCAGCACACGTTCTGTTTTGTCATGCATGATTTATGCTGTACGACTCGTACATCGTACACCACTACAGTACAAGTACAAAATCGGCCGCAATTTCCGCAATTTTACCACAATAATCCCGCAATATTTGACAAAATCCGCAATATTCCCCGCAATTTGTGGCATTTTACCTCGCAACTTTTTCCGCGATATTTCCGAAATGTCTCCGCAAGTTTCTGGAAGGACAGACCTGCATGTTATGCATTGAAAAGGATCTGCCACTTGCGATCCTGGGACAAGTATCAGGTCAGCTTTGTCTTGTGTGGGCTGTACCAGATTGCTGTTCACTTTTCCATCTGTTGGATATGTGACTTTCTGCAAGTCTCTGGTGTATGGTGGCCACTTCTTTGCTTGTCACTTTGTATGATATTACATTCTGTATTCGCTGCTTCCATGGCGTGGTCTGCAAACTGCAATCCTTGGGCAAATGTCATGTTTGCTATGTTGTGCTTTGGCCGTCAGCTTGTCTACACGTTGTAGTTGAATTATTTTGTTCCACAACTGACTTCCTTTTAAAAGTACGGTGGCCACTGCTTTGCATGGCATTTTACATGAAGAATTTCCTGTTTGTGTCGTGTGCATGTGCGTATGTGTGCGTGTACCGTGTGCATCCGCGTGTTTGTGTATCTGTGTGCGGGGTAAGCGAGGTGGGGAGGGCTGGTATGTATCAGTGTGTTATCGCAGTCTCATGCCTACATACAGTACATCGCGCGTGTTTATCATGTTTACCTTCGGGGTTGGGGTGGGGAGGGAACGGAAAAAAAACTGAAATTATCCATATAAAAATCGCTCTGTGAGCGGTTCTGAAAAACCTTTACTGGCGCTGCCCCGTCGTAAAAGTAAGAAATTAAAACTGGCCCATTGTCCCCCCAAATGTGAACTGATCCACCTAAATCGGGAATGACGGGACCCGAACGCACCAGTAGCACGAGGTCGGGAGGGCACAGGATCACAGCACATCATAGGGTAACACTAGTACATGGTATCAGTGGCAGTGTAACTTTGCTAGTACACATAGTTACTTCCATCGGATATCCAACATGGGAGTTCATCGACGACCATGGCCTGTGGACCAGCGTCCCCAGCTGCATCCACAGGTAGGAACCAGATTGATTGATTTTATTTGGATTTGCGAGACCAAACGAGCAGGAGTGCTCAATAACAGGGTAGCCAATGGTTGAGTTGTGCTATGTGACAATGTAGTGTGTGCGGAGGCCCAATACGATGTAAGGGGATGGGAGGAGAGAAGGCCAGCGGAGAGTCAAACTCAGAAGAGGGAGGAGAGAATAACTGAAGTACACATTTACTGTGCGAATTCAAATAAACCAGACAAACAGCAAAACGAGTACATAACTCACGAGAATAAAGAGGACTGGAGCACAGAATTGAACTGCTGAAGTACACAGCTGACGAGAATAAAGACAGGAGCACAGAAATGAACGGGAGGCAGTCTATGAAGTGGTGGTACCACCGGTGCATGCACCACGGTACATTATCACATTATCGGCTTTGCAAAGTTCGTGGGTACTGAATACCATGGTATGGCCAACTGTGTAGCGGTCTACAACGACTTACGTGTAGGGAATGGCAGCTTGGCGGAATGCTGGGATGTTGCCCATAGCTCGCACCGTGTCAGGTATATGGTTCCATAACAGGCAACCGCGAGATGCCGGTCGGCATTGGCCTGCTCGGCTTCTGGCTATTGGTTGTTGTAGGTCCAGACTGCGCTGAAGGCGAGTTGCTCCGCAGTTGCGAACAAACAGTGCCTGCAGAGCAGGACTGGCACGGTTATGAACGCACCGCCATACCAGCACGAGCAGTTTCTGGCGATATACCTCGTCCATGCGATAAACAGAGAGCCTCTCCAAGAGATCACTGGCCCTGGTAAATCGTGGTCGTCCGAACACCGCCCTTGCTGCGCGGTTTTGGGCCACCTGCAAGCGGTTTAGCTGGTTGTAGGTCAAGCCGGAGCCATATGCTGACGATCCATATATCAAATCCGGCATGATGACAGATAGGAAGTACTTGCTTCAACTAGCTAGAGTGAGGCAGCGTCGCGCCCGCCACAGACTACCGATCTTCCTAGCAGTGCGTGAGATGCACCGGTCAACTTGCAGTTGTCAGGTCATTCGTTCATCGATTAAGACGCCGAGGTATTTCGCGCTGGTGGTGTGCGGAAGCACATCATTTCGACAGCGTACACCCACGTCCGGCTGCTGCCCACTGCTGCTGGTAAAAACCAATACATTACTCTTCTTTGCATTTAATACAAGACCACGAGCGTCCAGCCAACTTGAGAGGGAGGTAACCGCCAAGCTGAGCGCATCAGACACCTCTTGCGCTGTCCGTCTTGCACATGTCAGGGCGATGTCATCCGCAAACTGCAGTGATGATGCCGGCGCAGATTCCGAGGGGATATCTCTGGTGTATATGGAGAACAGCATGGGTCCTAGTACAGAGCCCTGCGGCACACCACAAGTGCACCCTCGTGCTACTGCTGCGTTCGGGTCACGTCATTTGCGATTTAGGTGGATCAGTTCACATTTGGGGGTACAATGAGCCAGTTTTAATTTCTTACTTTTACGACGGGGCAGCGCCATTAAAGGTTTTTCAGAACCGCTCACAGAGCGGTTCAAGTTATATGGATAATGTAAACGAGAGAGCTTGGAAGCTCAGGGCCCTACGCTATGCTTTTTTGCCTTGATGACCTAGACAAAAAAAGCATAGGGATGTTATAAATTCTTTAAAAAAATCCTTTTTTTAAGACATAACCTGGGATTCGAACCCGCACTATCGCGCGCCCTGCATGCATTCCCCGATACACTTCGCATACATACTAATTCTTCCAAGTTGTTTCACATTGTGGTCTTGCATTTGAAAGCCCTATTTGAAAATGCATTGTGGCCAGCCGTCTTTGATGGCACGGTACGGTAGGGGATAGGTACGGGACAGGTACGATCGAGGGTAATACGACACCGTCTCCCGTACCGTACCGTACCATCAAACACAGCTGGCCACATACAGCTGCCCGCAATATTCAAATAGGTCTTTCAAACGCAAGATAATAACGTGAAGCAACTTGGAAGAATGGGTATGAATGCGAAGTGTATGGGGGAATGCATGTAGGGCGATAGTGCGGGTTCGAATCCCAGGATATGCCTGAAAAAATAGGAGAATTGAAATATTTATAACATCCTATGCTTTTTTTGCCGTCAGATACGGATAGCGCCAGGCGTGACACAAACACACAAACAAACCAGATACCAAATTAAAGCTGTGTGGACCCTGGCTAGCGCCAGACGTTACTGAAGTAACGTCTTCTGCATAGCTACGGGAATAATACTCAATATGCTACCTGTGGTGTGGTGCAAGCTCAGCACTGAGCTAAATCAAACTAAATCAAACATACAGCCTACACAGCCTCTAATGGCCCTCTATACAGTGCTGCGATGGCAGAACTTCTGAAGTTCACATCACCTTTCTTCCTCCAGCTATGCCTGTGACACCCTTTGTGAATCAAACACTACAGGCCACGCGAAAATGAGAATGCGCGCAGCCAAGATTAGGCCATCATCTCCTTCATCCATCATCCCGGCGGTCACTCCGCCCGTTCAATATCCAACACCAGTCCCCAAGAAAGAATAAGGCACGAGATTTCAAGTTCAAGGGCAAAGCTAAAGCCAATGGCACTGATTTTTGGAATTGTCGAGTAGAACGAAAATAAATAATCGAAGGCGATCACGGTCAGATTTGACACACACGTGACACAGTTTGGGTCGCGCTCGTGTGTCGCGCTTCGCAGCTCGAGCGCGCCCATGATGAGTCTCGCGCTTGCGACAGGCTAGCCGCTTGCGACAAAAGTCTCAGTGTCTTTTTTTACGAGTTCTGTGACGTCATGTTTTGGAAGAATGTCCCAACAGTCATTCGCGTACGTGTATGCCTCTCCAAAAGTGGAAAGGAACTCCTCATGAAAAAGAAGCAAGAAGCAGTTACAGGTGGCAACCCTGTTTACGTGTCCCATGATCTCACTCGTACTGAACAATCTAAGCGAAATGACGTCTGGCCTACATTTCGGAAACTGCGACAGAATGGCATCCGATGTACTCTGCCTAGATGCGTGATCATGTTGAAGGGCAAAGCCATGACAGACGAAGAAATCGCCATGCATCTCTCAAAGACCACCTAGGGGTGCGAAAGTGGAACGGCAGCTGCTGGCATGGACTCCAGTCAATCCGATACCCCAACAACGCACTGGCATTCTAAATTAAATATTTGTCACATAAATATATGTAGTATCAGGAACAAGTTATTGTATATACAGGATTTAATTATTACTCATACATTGGACATACTATGCATTACCGAAACTTGGCTAGACACTTCAATTGCAGATTCGTTTATTGCATTGCAAGGCTACGACCACATTCGACGAGACAGAGGCGGAGGGAAAGGCGGAGGTGGTGTGCTAATATATGTTCGTAGCACTATACCGATGACGTACATGCATATCAATTTGAGTCCGTGTGACAGTGAACTAGAAGCAGTGAGTGCGCTGCTTGAATTTCGCAGCTCTGGACACGTCACTTGGCGTTTACCACTGATATGTGTTTACCGACCCCCTTCATCAGGGGTAGGATTCTGGGATATATTCACCGCCTACATAGACAACGTAACACGAAGCGTGAAGCACAGCTCATTATGCATTCTCGGCGACCTTAATGTCAATTGCTTGTCTGATCAAGCTCCCGCTCACTTCCGAAACATGTGTGCAACCCACTGTGTTCATAACGTTGTAACAGAGCCAACCAGATTCCGCTCCGATTCATGTTTGGACCCTATTTGTATCACTGGCGACCTTGTAGCTGTTGATGTCAGTGTAATGCCTGATCCAATTAGTGATCACTTTGCCGTGAAAGCTAGTCTAGACCTTGAATGCCACCTTGACAGACCAGGTCACCTCCGAGTTAGGACTAGAAAGAAACCGCTTTCCACCCTGGACTTTGATGATCTGTCTGACAGGATTGGTTCGGCCCTCACTGAGACAGGACGGCATGTCACTGCTAGCACTGGCGTTGATGAACTCGTGGATAAATGGCACGGTAGCATTGGAGGTGTCCTTGATGACCTCGATCCATATGTGGTCAAGAACATAAAGCTACACAAGAAATCGCCTAAGCCATGGATCACTCCAGAGCTACGTTTTCTATTGGCACGTCGACAGTACCTCCATCGCCGAGCATGTAAGAAAGCGAGTGACCCAGCAGCTTTAGAAGAATATCGTCGAGTTCGGCGCGAGGGAACTTTAATGAACAGGCGTCTCCGCTCCCAGTACTATCAACATCAATTCATGTCCGTCCGTAAACAGCCCAGGGGCCAATGGCGGTTACTCAATGGCCTGCTTCGCAGACATACCAAGGACACTTTAGGAGGGACTGATCACATTGGTATCTCCCGCACATTTGCACAAACTGTTTCAGACCCCATTCGGACACACCTTCACTGCCCATCTGGTCCCCATCGCCAGACTTCTATGTTGGCTATCTCGCAGCC